GTACCTACGAAGAAGTCGAAAATACTCCAAGTGCAAGCCCTGTGAAACTTTGTGTCTACATTTTCCTCTAATGGCTTGCACCTCATGTAAAACATCAGGATACCGAGTCTAACTATGATGTCAAGATAAATATTTGTTCTTTGTATCATGAACCTCTGTGTGTTTAACGTAGGCTAACTAGTAGCCTGAGCTAACAACGCTACCCAGTTAAATATTCCTTAATTCCATTTCAATGCCGTACATTTATCTCCTCCAATGTCTCCTCTCTTTTCCACTTTGCATTAATAACACTAAAATCAACAGCTGCTCAGTATTTATCATCTCAAGATCTAACATTTTACATTCGGTCACCATGGTTTCCTGTGCAAAAACAAGCAATACTTGAATATAACAATATAGCAATATAACTAGCATAGAAATCGCACCGCCAATTAGCGTGTGTAGGCGGAGTATTGCAGAGCGATGCAGACCCAAACAAACACACAAGTTTGTACTGATTACACTGACGTAGGGCTGACGGTGTAGATAATGTGAGACTGAAGTCCTGCAGGGCTAGTGCAACCAATAACTACTTCCCTCTTTTTTCCACTGATTTTAATTTCTGGGGAAAACTATTGGAATAAACTCAGCGTGACTTCCCAACGGGCAGCTGTTCCCAGCTCCTCAGCTGCTCTGTTCCCTCCTCTGCCAGTTATTGCTGTGTGTCTGAATGTGTCTGAATGTGAAGGCCATGACGACCAAAGTGCCCACCAATCCCCCATCATTAAAGACCGGCATTCACCCCTCTTATTCACCGATCATCCCGCGGCTCGGATGTCGCTTGAGCAGCTTATTACGTCAGTTCACCTACACTGCAAAAAATGTCCAGCCCAGTTCTTCCCCCCCTGTATTTTGACTTTAAGATGTTTCCCCATTTTAAAAGCTTTGCTCAATCGGTGACCTGCGTCTAAACTGAGTCGTAATAAAGTCTAATGGGGCGGTGGTGGCCTAGCGGTTGGTTCACTCGCCCCATGTGCAAGTCAAGTAAAATGTATTTATATAGCACATTTCATATGACAAGCATGAACTCAATGTGCTTAAAAATAAAATAAAAGTAGACAACATTCATAAAATGAAACAGCAATAAATAGAAATAACATTTCCTAAATATAAACTCCAGTTATTGTGATTTAGCCAAAAGCTTGTGCAAGTCTGCTTTTAAAAGAAGACACACTTGTATGGTCCCTCTCTGAGCTGAGCCTGAAGGCAAAGCTTTCGATTCACAGGGTGATATATCTTCATTTCAAACCTCCCCAGTGGTCACGAGTATTGGATAGTGACTGAAATAATGAGATTGTGGATACAAGCGGCTGAAATGAGCTTCCTCTGAAGGGCTCGGCTCAGCTGTAGAGAGAGTGAGCAGCTCAGACATCCACAGGAACCCGGAGTAGAGTCGCGGCTCTTTTATATCTTCATATTTATTTGACAAAATCAGCACTTTAACGCTTTCTCCTGCCTCTAATGCTGAGTTCACACTGCAAGCCTTAAAGGAGCAGTATGTAACTCTGACACCTAGTGTTTAAAAAGGGTTCTGCAGTCTAAATTCTAAACATTGTAGAGAGCTGCCCCCCCCCCCCTCACACAGGTCACCATGTGGTGGACTCTGAAGCTTCAGTGTTTATCCAGCTCTGCATGGGTCTGTAAACCTTTCTGTGTTCTAACCTCTCTCCATTTTTCAAAAGCATCTCCAATATTGATCCTAGTTTGAGCACGTTTCTGCTCGTGGAGCTTATTAGAAACATGCAGAGGCTTTTTAGGTCGGGTACAATCACTTCTATCTGAACCACTTCTCTTGACCGCTTCCATCGCTGCAACACCTGTTGACCTGATAACTGCTCTCATATCTGGCAAACCGAGGGGCGTCCCAAAACGGCCATGTGGGGGGTCGCCTTTAAACCGCCTACCTTCTCTGGTCCAAACAAATCCAGAGCATTCAGGAGCAGAATCTAAAGTTAGAAGGAGGACATACTGGCTGCTGCATTTGTTGTCAGAGAAGCCAGCACTTCAACATAGCATGTTTCCTTAATGTCTGATCAGATAGTAAGATACCTTTATCATCTCACTCACTACATATCTTTTAGACTGCTGCTTTAATGCTCAATATGGATTTTTGTTGAGATCCGATTTCTGTGTCCATCACTTTTGAAATGTGGCCTGGATCAGACAATCTGTATGAAAGTGGTCCAAACCATTAAACCAATCACAGAAGGCTGCAGAGTCGTAGAGGAGAGGTGTTTCCTATATGTTAAATGTGTGAGCTACAACTTGACACTTTTTGCAGTGGAGCCGGTCAGGGATCAGCGCCCGGCCTGCAGCCAGACTACCTGCTTTGTTGTTTTTTTTTGTGTGCAGAGCTCAGTCAGCTGCCCACCTGAGAGAGACGAGAGAGGAGGGAGAGCAGGCAGAGATTATCTGACTGGAGGTGTGTGTGACACCATGAGCCACGTTTGATGCTGCCAAGGGATCATCACAGTGTTCAGGAGGATTCACGGAGCAGGTAGGCTGAATGTTTGAGTCCTGTCAGCAGGTTAGAAGATTTATCATCCAAGCGTTTCATCAAAATGTTTAAAGGAAAGCAAGATTTAAATTCAGATGTGACTCTTTAAATCGTTTTAGCTCAACTGATCGTGAAATTACAGGTTTAAAAAACATCAAGTTTGACTGTTTAGGCTCACAGCCTTTGAAACAAGTCGAGGTTTTTTACAGACTAATCATCCAAATCATCAATTATTTTCTATGAATGCACAAAACAATTTAAAAGTTTAAACTGCAGATGATTAAATATTCAAACAGACGTCTTGAAGAGAGAAAACTGCACCATAATGGATATGTTTCATAATTTGTATACGTCGACATTTCACTGGATGACTTTATGATCTCATTATTTTGATTTTTAAAGGATGAAATCTTTTTCTTTCTGAACCGGCATCAAGTGACTTTAACATTAATTTAGAATTGAATGTAGGGCTGAGCGTTATTACCTCAAATCATGATTAATTGAACATTTGACCTCGATTACGATTAATGAACGATTATTTAGTTTTTGCTTTTTGCCCTCATCTCAGTCTTCTGTAAATATGCTCCACTAGTAAAGCTGGGATATGTTTTCTAATGACGGAGTGTCATATCTGATTAACTATTTTGTGGTTATTTATTGAATATTTGGAACTGAACTCAAAGCATCGCTAGAAAATAAAACGAATGTAACTTCTCTAAAACAGTAGAAAATATATTTATATTTATAAATATATATTTTTTTATTTTATATATAAAATAAATATCTTGCCTTTTTATTGCAAACAGTTTTTCTGCAGTGTTTACATTTGACTTCTTTTTGTTCGATGTCCTCTTCCCTAAAGACAAAATGTGTACAAATGACGTTGCTTCCATGTGGCTGATTGGACGTGTCGTCAAAGTGACTCTGCCCTGGAAATAATCAAAATAATCAACATGGGAAAGATTGCATGAGTTAGAGGTTTTGAATGTCGGTTTCATTAATTTTCGATTAATTTCCCAGCCCTAAATGAATGTACTTCTATTTAATAAAGGAGGAGAGAGAGAGAGAGACAGAGAGAGAGAGAGAGAGAGAGAGGGATACACAGAGAGAGAGAGAGAGAGAGAGAGAGACAGAGAGAGAGGGAGATACAGAGAGATAGAGAAGGAGATAGAGGGAGAGAGAGAGAGGAGGAGAGAGAGGGAGAGAGAGAGAGTTTATAGCTGCTGATGATGTTGAAGACAAGATACAAAGAAACAAACATTTGAGACAACATTCAAACATTCAGAGGTCTTCAGCTTGCTTAGATCGGAGATTCAGCTCCGCATTCAATTTGAGTGTTTCAGTTTGACCTTCTGAGGCACCCTGTATCTCTGGTGTGATGGTCATAGTTCATATTCTGTGTTCAGATCAGAGGCCATGCTGTTATCCAGCCTTAACGTGCTTTTATTGCAGCATGATTCATAGAGTCTCTGCATTGGATGGAACAAAACCAGAATTTGTCGACTCGCCCAGAAAGATCTCAGTCGGTGGAAGGACTTAATTATTTGATTTGTCTTTTTACAGATGATGATGTGATCTTTCCAGGACAGCAGATGGTCAATCATTACACCAAAATATTTATAAGATGACACTTGATTATTTCATGTCCGACTCTAGTCCCTCGTTGAGCCTTTAGTGTAAAGAGTAGCTTTATTTTTTGGGCTTTTCATTCCCCCCTTGGAAGTGGATAGAGTCAGAAATCAGAGAGAGACATGCAGGGAAAGGAGCCACAGGTTGCATTTGAACCTGGCCGCCCACCAGGAGGACCACAGTCTCTTTCCCATACTGTCTGCAGTCCTGAGAATATCTAGAATTTCAGAAGCAGTCTGCAGTCCGGATATTCTCCTGACCTGGCTTTTCACACATGCACCTCACAGCGGGGGGGAACTATCCCTGTCAGCCTGCTCACATCAGCCCGGACTCGGGGTTTGGCAGGAGAAACTCCGGGAGTGAAGCCAGGGTGAAAAGTTCAACTGTTCAACCATGCAGCTCCTCCTGGAAATATAATTTTTTTAGGAGTTTTGAAGTGTAATTTCCATCATATGACATCACACATTGACCTTTGTTACCGTTCCTTTGAGCTGTTTGACCCCAGTTTGGGATCCCTAACCACTTCCTGTTTCTGTGCTAAACTTCATGTCCTAACCTTCACTCTACCAGAATGGCCTTACTGTATTTCAAAATAAAAGCACGGTTGAATTCAAACAGCCAGTGAAAGTATTATCAGTTATGACAGAATAAAAATACAAAATAAAAGCCTAACAATTCTTTATTTTAAATGCAAAATAATGAAATTTCAAACATGCGATTAAAAATGTGATTAATGGTGATTAACTATTGAAATTTAGCGATTAATCGCAACTACAAGTTGTAATCCTTTGACTATCCTAATGTATTTTTTTTACAGCAGTGCTTCAGCAGGACTATGGCAGGCTTACTAAGAGCGACACCACGTCCACGTCTCTGTTTCATAATCTGTGTTTCTTCCATTTTACTCCTCATCCTCTTCTGCAAAGGTAGGCCTGCATCAGTTCTTAGTTCTTTATTGTGTTTCCTGACTTGCTTGTTCACACATGTCCCTCACATAATGATGATGATGGTTTTGTTTGATTATGACAAAATTTAGGAAGGTTTTGATACTGATTAAAACCCTCAAGAAAAGCTGTCGATGTGCTGTTCTGCCTCTGGTCACTTCCTGTCAGCACCTCTGTGTCTGATCAGACTTAAAGCTGATATTGTTTCCTCCTCTCTTTATCCTTGCTTGTGTTGTACTTACTCTCTGATGTACGTCGCTTTGGAGAAAAGCGTCTGCTAAATGAATTGTAGAATCTTGAGACACTTTTCAAAAGAGCAGGTAAACGACCTTACTCTTTGTTATTTCTGGTCATCCAGGTCCTAACGTCCTGAAGGCACGATTCTAGTTTACATAACTGATTGGTGTGATCATGCTTCATTTTTACGTATAGCTGAGTATCATCTGCATAGCAATGAAAATGTATAATATGACGCAGACAGAGCATATATAACGTAAAGAGAAATGGTCCAAGCACTGAACCTTGTGGCACTCCATGGCTAACTTCGGTGTGCAACAGATGAATCTTTTTCTCATACTCTCTTGACTCTGAACACATTTTTCTAGTTTGCGATCAAGAATATGATTTTATTTTTCTTATATTCTTGCATTGTTATTTTTTTATTTCACAGAATTAAGAGACAGGCAGCACGAGGAGAGGCACAAAAGAGACCTGGACTACCTTCTGAACTCCACAGGTAATCCTCATTACATCATGCCTATAGACTTTTTTTGGGGAGCTCTGAGACTTAAAATTTGAAAAGGAGGAGAATATGTGACCTTTAATGACAGAATAATCAATTTAATTTGGAGCCCCCTGGTGTCAGATGAGAGAAAACAGAGCCATTTAAACATTTGTACACAGAATTTCTTTCTTCAGACAACAAAGAATGGACTATTGTGTGAGCTAACTTGAGCCAATTCCCAGCTAAGCTCAATTTTTAACGTTTGTTTTTGGAGTTGAATACTCAATTAATGCAACCTAACAGAATGAAAGATGTGATAAGTCCAATGCAAAACCCCCTACATCCAGAGCGCAGCCCACCTACTCCCTCCCCACAAGGACATTGGACATTCTTTTTATTAGTATCAATCAATCGATCTTTATTTGTATAGGCACAAATTCACCAACTCAAGTTATTGAGGATGACAGATCTTGCATTAAACCTTCTTATTCACATTTAAAGAAAGTATGAAAAAGTGTTAACGTGTCCCATAATGGTGGGGTCGTGTTGTCCACCAAATGTTAACATTTTAAACCCAGCAGCTGCTGAGAAAAGTGACTGAAAAGGAAGCAGCCTCCAGATCTAACATGATAACAATCATTTTCATGATGTTTACATAATGTCCTCCAACATATCAGAGTTGAATATATAAAATATATTTCATAAAAGGCAGCATCAGTTCAATAAGAGAGGCTTACTGTTTGTCTCTCTGACCTGATGTCATTCAAACATATCCCCCCCTCGGGTCTTATTCCTCGGGGTAATTCTTACTTTCATGTCATTTTAGTTCGTTTTACAGTCGAACGTCCACTTCCTGCTGATGCTGCCAATTCCATAATAGATATTAAAAACCAGAATAACTTGCCATTGACATTACTGTCTGCTTTTATTTCCCAGAAATCCCTGCAGAGCACATCGACCCGGCTGCCATCGACCTCACCCCCCTGGTCAATACTTTAATAAATACGAGCCAATCAGGTGCGTTGTCATAATATCATTCATGTGGAGATCAATTCTGAGCTGTGAATCTTTCATGTCCGTCGTAATTAAACCTCAGCATCAATCTGCTCCTCTTCTTTTCTTTTTTTTTAAGACAGAGGTCAAACTTCAGGTAGGAGGCTTAGTGTCAGATTTAAAGGGCCAGTTCCCTCCAATTGTAACCGATGAAGAAGCTTTGTACTTTAACTTCTTGTGTTTTCGAGGATAGGCTTTATGTTTATGTGAGTGGAATCTGTGAAGTGCTGTGGTTACTTGTAAGGTCATGGTTGGTTCGGTTGATGGGATTGGTTGTAACATTGTCATAAATGTAGATTTTTCTGTATCCTTAGTTTGTGCCTTCACTACTGCCTTGGTTACTTCTTTGTGGTCGCTCTTTGTATCATTGTCTCAGGTTTGTCGGCTGTAGTCTGACTTTGGGGCTCCATGGTTGCAGGTTGTGGAGATGTTTCTGGGATTTTGGTTGATGGAGCAGCATTTTCCTCCATTTTTCGAGCTGAAACTAAAGAGCCAAACATCTAATTTCATGTTCTGTCCTAGACCTTTTTGGAATATTTTTGTGGACTCATTATGCATTGGATATAGTTTTACATTTTTGGGGGGTAAAGCCGAATATGCATCGTACGATTTCAGGCCGATATACACAATCTTTAAATTGATTTACAACTGACTTTGAAGTCAGGCTGAATTTCAGCCCGTCGTTGGTCGTGCAGTGAACACTGAGGCACGCAGACGATCACGGCCCGATGATTTTCGTTTGATATTCCGGTCATACGACTTCACACAATCACACAGTGACAGCAGTAGGGTCCACACAAAGGTGCCTGCATGTCCGCTTGCATCTCTGTCAAGTACTGATTAGTTTCTTGTCTCTGACAAACTCAGCCTGCTGTTTGTTTGTAAATGTATGCATGCTCTGAGTGGACTGTGGAACCAAACTGTCCTCTCGGGTGTAAGTACGGGTCAGGAAACCTCAGATCATTGTTGAGGGTTATTAGCTTGTCACTGTCAGCAACTTGCCAACTAGTCATCTGCTGCCAAACTTTTAAAGTCCCTGTAAAGTAAAATCTGAAATGTGTCTCTCAACATGCGATACACTTGGAAAAAAGTATCTAAACATGTGAAATGAGTAAGAACTATGTTTGACTGAATTAAGGATTCAGACCCGTAAAACAATTTCCATGCGTTTGAGTTTCATATTTTTATGGGCGGGGCCAAATACATTGATTTACTAGAGGTTCCAAAGTTACAGTCTGCATTGTTGCTAGCTATCTATGTCGTACGGCAAGTGTATCTCCACTGGATGCCAGACTGTGAAGAACAGCTCGGCCTGTTTGCTCAAATTTGGGATGGAGACGGCCCACAGATGTTTCCACAGTGACAGAGAGGCAGATTACCGCTACCCTGTTTACTGTGTCCGATAACAACAAGCACATAAACCTCTGAGACTTTACCAAAGTTGTCTGTCATTCTAACATTCAGCAGATTTTTGCAGATCAATCATAAAATAAGTGTTTTTCTTCTTGTGTGTCGTCTTGTCTTCAGGCTCCCGTCAGCTCTTCTCCCTCCTCAGCGTGACATCCTACAGCTCTCTGGCTCTCCATAAGCTCACCCTGTTGGTCTATAACAGTAAATATTCACTTTATATCAAACATGGTCTCCTCTGCAGCTTTTTATTAACAACATATAAAAGTGTAAAAACAGTGGATAAACCTGCCTCACTTTGCTCTGGGGATTAATTTGAAGTTAATGGCAGAAGATTATTAGGAGAAATCAGCATCTCTGGGTCCACTGCTGTAGTACAGATCACTTTGTCACTAGCTCCATCTAGTGGTTTAAATGTGTCAGTGCACATCATAGTGTTAGACTGTGTAGGATCCTCTAGACTGGACTGATGTTTTACGACCAAAGGAAAGAGGAACATCAGGATGCAGCCTCTCTATCTCTTTCTCGCTGTCTCCCACAATGAGGAAGTGAAGCTGCTCTTACGGATTGAGTCATGTTAGGCTGCGTTTCCCAACCTCCTTTGAGCCCCCCTTTTTTTATTTAAGAAAAGCTGGGACCCCCAAGGACCCAGTCAAGAGAAAAAAACAAGTGGTCGACAGCAATGAACAATGACCTTACTATCTGATCATTAAGGAAGCATGCTATGTTGAAGTGCTGGCTTCTCTGACAACAATGCAGCAGCCAGTATGTCCTCCTTCTAACTCTAACAAACTTTGTTACCCGTACAAATTTATTTGGACCTGAGAAGGTAGGCAGCTTTAAGACACCCCCACACGGCCGTTTTGGACGCCCCTCGGTTTGCCAGATATGAGAGCAGTTATCAGGTCAACAGATGTTGCAGCGATGGAAGTGGGCAAGAGAAGTGGTTCAGATAGAAGTGATTGTACCCGACCTAAAAAGCCTCTGCATGTTTCTAATAAGCTCCACGAGCAGAAACGTGCTCAAACTAGGATCAATATTGGAGATGCTTTTGAAAAATGGAGAGAGGTTAGAACACAGAAAGGTTTACAGACCCATGCAGAGCTGGATAAACACTGAAGCTTCAGAGTCCACCACATGGTGACCTGAGTGAGCATCCACTCTAGAGAGGGGGGGGGGGGGGGAGACAGCTCTCTGCAATGTTTTGAATTTAGACCCATTTTAAACACTAGGTGTCAGAGTTACATATTGCTCCTTTAAGGACCAGAAGCGTCTGAAATATAGCCCAAGACAACACAAAGATTGCACTGTCCGTTTCAGTAAACTGTAAAAGCAGTTTTATTATTTCATTCTAAACTCTTCAAAGTTTGTAGATATGATGTTCATTTAAAGACGTGCAGAAGCTGCTTTTTGAGCCTATATATTATATTTTCCTCATGTGTCTAACCCTCTTACTCTGTTTTGTGTTCTGCAGTTTCCAGCATTCAAAGTTTAGAGAGTAACGTATTCAGGAGGAGATTCTGCTACTGTGTCACCAATGAAACCAACGACCTCACAGGTAAGATAAGATCCTCCTTTATTGATTAATTGAGGGGAAATTCAAGTGTTGTAGCTGGAAAAAGACGAGAAGAAGAGCCTTCATATGAGTGCACATAAAACAAGAATAGCTGGGATTAATGCCAACAACATTAATGCAAATTTGATGAATTCCACTTGATTTTGTTTGTTTTTTCTTCAGACTTTACGGCCATTCTCCTGGACGTGATGGGAAACTCAACAAGTTACCTGCAGGAGATCTTTAAATCTGCCTCCATATTATCAGGTGGGTGGAGGTTAAAGGTCACATACTCTCCTCCTCTTCAGTGTAAATAAGTCTCAGAGCTCCTCAAAACATGTGTGTGAAGTTTCTTGTTCTAAATCCACTCTGATCCTGTATTTGATCATGCCTATAAACCCCTCTATTTCAGCCCTGCTCAGAACAGGCTGTTTCTGTGTCTGTACCTTTAAATATGTAAATGAGCGGTGTCTGACCACGCCCCCTCTCTGGAAAGACTTGGGTGTACTCGGTGCTTTCTCGCTCCATGTCCTATTGTTTACGGTGAGAAGGCAGACTCAGGGCAGAACAGAGCCGGCCATAACCATTTTGGTGCCTTAGGCAAGATTTCAGCCATTGCCCCTTAAATTGCAGCCAGTTTGACCACCAAAGACAATATTCATCCACTTGAGAAAACTGGCTTACAGCTTTATATTTAACATAATTTCTTATTTTAAAATAAAAAATACTTATCAACAAACATGAATAAAATGGTTATAACTCTAAGATTTCTTATAAATAAACAAAAAATAAAATAAAAATAATAATTCCTTCCTAATTCCTAAATATCTATTCAGTGTGGACTTCTAGCACAAAATGCAGTCATGCTATTAGACCAAAGGCAAGAGCTTAAAACTATTAATGACAACAGGAGGTGGAAAATAAACATTTTAATCGACGAGGGTGAAAGCTACCTAAGTACACAAAGATGTCAATAAATATAAAAGTAGGTTTTGTTTCTCAAACAACAAAAGAAGAAGTGTATTACATACACTGGTTATTTTCTTAACATGAATAATCTTAACCTAATAAAAGTACAGTGGAAATAACTGATGTTAACTGGAGCTAGGAAACACTGACGTTACTATCATCCATCCATAACGAGCTATCTTAAATACAACAGGTAAATAATTGATCTGTGCAGCACGTTACCTCTGTGTCTTTTTCACATTATTCCTCCTCTTCTTCTGGTTTGTCCCTGGGCTCCGAGGGCTTTGTTGTTGTTTTTTACATCACGGTCATTTATAAACGTGATATTAATTCGTACGGTCAGTGTCACTCAATTCTAATAAGTCACATGCCCTCCTCCTCCACAACGAGCAGGTAACGGCAGGTAATGAGCAGCTGTGTTGTGATGCGCCGTGTCAAGCAGGAGGCAAGAAAATAGAGCCTTTTTAAATATGTGAAGTAGCCTAGTTGTATTTTCATGGCTTATTTTGTATCATTACTGAATAATAGCATGAAAATGATATTAGATAAATAATATTTAGTGATATTTAAACGCATTTCTTCTTATCTTCAACTTTTCTGCTGCACTCATAGGGGCGCCAGCAGCACCCCCTATGGAGGCTGGCGCCCCTAGCATTTGCCTATACTGCCCATGCCACGGGCCGGCCCTGGGGCAGAACAAACACCTAGCTGTGGGAGTGTCACCCACCTGGCGGAGGGGCTACCGCCCTTTGTGATGTCATGAAGGGAAAATCTCCAAACTCCTATTTGAGCACACATTTTCTGAAAAGTGGAGCAGGAAAAAGACGGAGAGGATGGACTTTTCTCATCTTTGGGGGGTTCTTATAGACAGATTAGAGACACATGTTAGTATTAGAGGAACAATGTGAAGTGTCTTTTGTGTCCTCATAATGTGACATATCCACTCTGTGTGTGTGTGTGTGTGTGTGTGTGTGTGTGTGTGTGTTTGTGCGTCTCAGTAAGCCAGAGGAACAACTCGGACTGTATTTACATCTGTGTGATGGCCGGTAAGATGGGTAAGTTTCTGGACGTTGCTCTTAATCATGAAGACTTTATAAGACATTATCAACTGAGATACTGTAAGTGTGGGCGGAGTTAACTAAATAATCAAATTCTTATTTTTGTCTCAATACGACAAAATTGAGTGACAGTTTTTGAGTTAGGTGTTTTTCCGTTTGTGTACTTTGCTTTGCAAGAAAACAAATAAATGGAGGATCATAGAGATTAAATAAAAATGTATAAAACTGTTAACTCCCTGAATTCAGTAAAGTTTCGACTTTCGAAATGTCACCGGCTGATAAAATTAGAAGAGATATGGGTGTAAAAAGAGACAGTGTGGACATGCTCAGACAGTCATTGTGTGATTGTAATGTGTGTGTGTGTGTGTGTGTGTGTGTGTGTGTGTGTGTGTGTGTGTGTGTGTGTGTGTGTGTGTGTGTTTGTTTCGGTGTGTGTGTGTTTTGTTTTTTGTTCAGGCAGGGAGGTTCCGGAGCTGTGGGAGGTTGACTCCATCATCCCACTCTTCAACCAGACAATCGTGGAAGGACCACACAGAGGTTTGTTCACCATCCCATCATTGATGCACGATTAAACTGCTTTCGACTCTCAAATGCAAACAGCGCTACTACAACTTTTGAGGGGAGGGGAGAGACACCTGGGACAATGGCCTGTGAAGGGGTGGCATGAAGTTTGTGTGTCAAACCAGCAAATCAAACATCAGATACATATAACTTTTATTTTGGACATGGAGAACGGGGGGGATTAGTGCTGAATGGTCTTTAAGACGGTCTCTGAAAAAACACAACAGAGAAGTTTTGAGCTCTGGGTTTAAGGACGGCGACTGCTTTCTACGTTTATGTTTGATGAACCATCTTCAAATCTTTAAGTTATTGAGTGAAGACATTTTTCTGGGTCTTACTTCCTTAGTTGTGGATAAAAAGATGAATATCTACACGTGTAGTACTTAAAGGAGCAATATGTAACTCTGACCCCTAGTGTTTAAAAAGGGTACTGCAGTCTAAATTCTTAACATTGCAGAGAGCTGTCTCCCCCCCCCTCACTCAGGTCACCATGTGGTGGACTCTGAAGCTTCAGTGTTTATCCAGCTCTGCATGGGTCTGTAAACCTTTCTGTGTTCTAACCTCTCTCCATTTTTCAAAAGCATCTCCAATATTGATCCTAGTTTGAGCACGTTTCTGCTCGTGGAGCTTATTAGAAACATGCAGAGGCTTTTTAGGTCGGGTACAATCACTTCTATCTGAACCACTTCTCTTGCCCGCTTCCATCGCTGCAACACCTGTTGACCTGATAACTGCTCTCATATCTGACAAACTGAGGGGCGTCCAAAACGGCCGTGTGGGGGGGGTGTCTTAAAAGCGCCTACCTTCTCTGGTCCAAACAAATCCAGAGCATTCAGGAGCAGAATCTAAAGTTAGAAGGAGGACATACTGGCTGCTGCATTGTTGTCAGAGAAGCCAGCACTTTAACATAGCATGTTTCCTTAATGTCTGATCATATAGTAAGATCACTTTATCATTTCACTCTCTACACATCTCACTGATTGGACCTTTAACAGAGAATAAAGTCAAGAAATCATATGAAAATAAACTATGCTTTTAAAAAATAACTTAACCCTGTTTGTTAGAATTTAAATCTGATGTGTTCGCTCCTTTTGTTGCTTTTCGATAAAGTTTCTTCATCTTTTAGGTAACGTCTCCTCCATCAGACTCCCCGTGGGTGAGTAATCCAGCATCATTCAATTCAAGCATCTGTTGTCATTTTGGATAAAAACTTGAGAGCCGTTTAATTCTTCTATTTAAAAACCTCAGAATGGAGCCAACTGCCCACGAATCTGAGTCACGTCTCTCCATCTGGGATGAGCTCCATGTTAACCAGCAGAGTCCATTCGACGGTACATGGTGAGTGTCTGCAGGAGGCCCGTGTGCATGTCTGGTTCACTTTACCCTAGATTTAGCTCATTGTGTTTAATGATGATTCCTGCACACAAGGATTAAGTTATCATATCACACAAGGGTACTTTTAGAAGTTTATCGCGCCTGGTGTCGAGCCAAAGTCACCTGACTCGAGATCAAGTTTCATAAGCGATGTAAACAAACTTAGAGCTCACACGGTACAGGTGAAATCAGAACGTAAATATTTAGATCGATGGGTCTCTCAGATGTCTCATATGCACAAACACCATCTGCATCACCGATGAACTCAAGCTAACTAGCAGCTAAATCAAAACAAATATTCAGAGGGCCAAAGATATTTCGTGCCGACCTTTCAATCATGATCGGAGGGGGAAGACAGATGAAACAGGCATGCCCGCTGTTGCCATGGTGATTTCAGATGTTTTCTTTAAGTTTGTAAAGGCACAGTCAGGAAAAAATGATTCCCTGAACTCAGGGAATCGGCTCGTGGTTCTGCTTTCACTGTGCGAGTGTGTGAATTCATACGACCAAAATATCAAACATGTCAGATCGATCGGGAGCAGCTGATCGGACCGTGATCGGACCGTGATCGTCTACGTGCGTGAGTGAACGCTGCATTACCAATGATGTGCTGAAGCTACTCAAAAATCGTGTCTCAATCGGCATGAAATGCTCAGTTTTAGACCCCAAAAAAGTCCCAAAAGAATAAAGGCAGAAGATTACATGTTGTGTTTTTTTTTCTCCTTGTCTGTTTGGTTCTTTAGTTTCAGCTCCTACAGTGGAGGAAACTGCTGCTCCATCAACCAAAATCACAGAAACATCTCCACAACCTGCAACCATCGAGCCCCAACGTCAGACTACAGCCGACAGACCTGAGACAACAACACAGACAACGCCACAAACAACGCCACAAACAACGCCACAAACAACGCCACAAACAACGACACAGACGACACAAAGAGCAACCACACAGGAAGTAACGATACACGCAGTGGTGAAGGCACAAACTAAGGATACAGAAAAATCTACATTCATGACAATGTTACAACCAGTCACATCAACAGAACCCACAACAACCCGACTGGTTACCACGGCAACTGTTACTTCTACAACAACAATTACGACCCAAACATCCACAGCATCAACCGACGGAACGACGTCCTCACCAGGAATTAGTCTGACCCCGCTGACTTCAGCCTCACAGCATCAAAGTAGGACAACCCGGTACCCGACTTCCACTGCTTCTCCAACAAGGCTTACACCCTTCCAACACACTGAGGGACCCATACTGGCAGAAAGGACTACAGAACCTCTTAGCAAGAGAACTACAATACCCAGCAAGACAGTGGAAACAGAAAAACCAGGTAAAAATTCAAAGAATTATCTTACTACAACTAAAAAAATATTTTCACATGAAAGAGGTTCTGATTCGTCCTCTGAATCTGATGACTGAAATATATAAATCTCCATTGGTGTGGGCGGGGTCAGGGATATGTCAATAAAGGCATAATAGGCCACGCCCACACAGACTTGAGAACTTGTCTAGACTACAAAATGAGGTTTTTTTTAACAGTTTTTTGAAAGTCTGCCCTAAGATTACTTATTGTGCCATCTTTATTTGGTGGGGACATTGTTTATGTGCTCAGCTCTCCAGCAGGCTAAATAACAATCAATGACCTTGAACGTGTCGTCGTTCAAGACACGTGTAACCCAGGTCTAAGTATCTATGACAAATAAACGCATCGCTGCCGCTCTGCTCCGCCGTGCAGGAACACTTTGACTCTGACTGCTGACCAAAACAAATGTAATAACATCACATCCACTCACTGTCCCTTCTGCACACAGCAGAGACAGATACAGCCTGTGTGTGTGTGTGTGTGTGTGTGTGTGTGTGTGTGTGTGAGACTATAGGAAACAGACAGCAAAAGAGAGAGAGAGAGTGTGACATGCAGGAGGCAAAGATAGCAACCATGGAAACACAGAAGCAGCTCGCCGTTGTTTGAAAGCTTTGATGGTTTTAAGCTGCAACGGTTAAAACACAAATTAAGACCAAATATTCAGCGTTGATCCGAGAGCTGGTCGGGAGGAAAACCAGATATCTGTCGGTGATAAAGCAGAAAAAAGGAGAGGGTTATATTCACAATCTTAAATGATGTAAACATCAGGAATTTCATTTGATGTTAGAGAAAGAAATGCTGCGAGTCTTTAGTCGGACAACTTGTGTTTGAAATATTTATAACAAGCAGAATATAGTCTGTGTTTGGCGTCTAGGCTCTGACCTCATCACTCATCGCAGATTTATGTAACATGCAGAAGTTTGAGGAGTGATCGGATGGTATCTTAAACCCCCCAGTCGGAGGGGGTGGAGGTGTGGCTGAGCGAGAGGGCAGAGTGTTGATGATGATCAAGCAGCAACCTCCAGAGTTTTAAAAATGAAGCTGATGCAGAAATGCAAAAATCCTGCAGTTCATCAAGTGTCCACTAGAGGCTGGCTGCAGAAGCACAGGAAGTCACATACACACCCATTCTTAAAAGCCTGTTTTTACAGCAGAGATGAACATGTTTACAGCCTGGTTCAAAAAACCAAATAGGTGTGATTAGCTCATGTCTGGATGGACACACACTGTACGGGGGGTGAATGTTTTGATGACTCATCAGTTTTGATTTGATGAAGGATAAGAGTTATTCACAATAAGGCGTGTAGCTGACCTGATTGACAGGTGGGCGCGGTGTAACGGTTTGTCAGGAGGTTTAAAACCCGCCTCAGCTCCAGCTCTCAGCCTGTCGTTAGGTTGACTGAAAGTTAGACTGAGACAGCATTTCCAGCACGGAGACCGCCATCGATGGGACTGCAGCGCCCCCTGCAGGAACAGACGGAGGACGCCACTCAGGCTTCAAACCTTCATATTTACAGTCTCTGATAATTGAGCATGTCGAGTGTGAAACTGGTGCAGCTCAAGTTGTCTGTCTGAACTCGCTTGCGGGTGTCGACTCATAAATTCCTTTTTTCACAAAAGTGAAATTTAAAGACTTCATTCTTAGACAAACAACAGACAATTTGGCATAAGTTGTGATATTTCTACTTCTACCTTCTACAACCTTGCCTAGTGGCCGTGGGTTCAAATCCGACCTTGGCCCTTTTCTGCATGTCATCTCCAGCTCTCTTGTCCATGTCCTGCCTCTCTTCAGCTGTCCATAAAAATCTGTCATCTTGTATATCTGCTCTGTTCAAGAATAATCCAAAAGACTCCTTCACACAGGCAGAATCCAAAGAAAGTACTGGAGCACACGAGTCATAAACCGTGATACCATAAGTGATGTGTGAAGGAGTCCTTTGAATTATCTTTGACGTCTACGGAGCACCGACCTCCGTCTGTGGAGGTGCTGAAGCGCCAGAGTCATCCTCCTACATCTCTGCTCACTTCCCTGCAGAAACACTAGATGGCAGTAACACACCAGTGTACAGAAACAGCAGCTGCTCCCCCTCCTCAGATCTGCCTAGCAACAAACAGAAGGCCGGAGCATCCTGTGCAATTTGTCAACGAGTCATTAGTGTGCAGAAAATGTAGCGTTTGATGCCCAGCTGCACATCTGTGCACTCTGCCAAAAACACCACAAAAGAAGAGATTTTAAATCTGAGAGACCACCACTGATACTTCTATCGGCTGAACCTTGAGAGGTCTAGGCTCTACATTTTCTATCTCTGAAGAAGACGAGATAACAGCTGATTTAGTGGTTCTGCTGAAATACATTTTTTCATATTCTCCAGTTTTAAATCCTTTTGAATGTGACCTGATGATGACTTTGTTTCTTATCCTCGTTTCCCATCCACACGAGGATTTATCGCGCGTGAAAACTCATTTAAAAACCACTAATGAGATTCAAAACTCATTTTCAGTTGTTCTGAAAAGGGCGTCTTTCTGAGTGTAATCATGCTGAATTAATTCTAATGAAGCATTAAAAAAAATAACTCTTAAGATTTCCAAGCAGGCATCAAAAGTATGATTTAAAATGAGCCTCCTCTCTGAATGTGAGGACAATAAAGAACACAAAATGATGAAATAAGTGTGTGTCTGTAATTACAACCCCCATTTGAATATGTATGTTTATGGTAATTAGGAACCTGTGTACCTGCAGAGCATTAGTAATAATTATAATACATCAGCACCAGAGGTTCCTACTGACACCACGTGATGCCAAATGAGTGCATTAAGAGAACATGAAGAATCAGAGCGAGGAGGATTCATTTTGTACTTAACAATTCTAAATCACCACTTTGTGTTCTTACATGTTGATTATGACGTGTTGCATGCTAACGTCCCTGTGAATAGACAACGTGTTTAAGCTAGCAGGTTAGAACATAGCTGGTCTGTGACTGACGGGATGTCTCACTCTGTCTGTTGAGAGGTTGTCCCTGGAGACGGCCGGATCGGACGGACGCCTCGGCCTCCTTGGGCAGCACGACGACCGTCAGCGCTCACAAGCTGCAGCCCTGCGTCTTCGAGCTCTGCAAGTTCTTCTCTCAGTGTCTCTGCAGACCGTTCAGCCACAAGACGCGCATGAAAAGGTGTGACGCATTACACTTCACTGCAGTGTGGTTTTTAACTCGACTGTGTAGCTCCAAACAGCAGGAGCGGAGAGAAACGATCAGAGACGCCACGCTCGAGTTGGGAAGCATGTCTCAATGTCTCAGGCTGTAAAAGTTCAGGATCTGTAATTAATTCACGGCTTCCTGATCGATCAGAAACTACAAACACAGCGGATACGGAACATCTGGAGAGACATCTGGCCATATTTCAAGTTAAAGGCAGAATATGCAATTTTTTGATCCAGCAGATGTCGCCCTTGAGCACCAGCATGAAACCAAAACAACTCGCGCTGCATTGTTGTGTTAGCATGCTAATGCTAGCGATCTTTATTATGCTGGTATCTTCACACTGCATGTAAATTTACCTGAAATGAGCGTGATCTAGAAACACAGTTAAGCAGTGAGTACAGTATGTTATTCTTCTTTTCTCTAGTCCCTCAATTAAACAACTTTTATACACGAGGGGAGGAGTCAGCCGGCCGTCCAGGCGATGTAAACAAACTGAAGATAGGACTCTGAAAACATCACAGACAGTGGGACTCGGGTGTTACACCCATTGTAGACAGTCATGACTCACAGAGTCATTTTCAGAGGATATACTTGATTTCTGCTACATTTAAGTGTGAACAATCCTTTAAAAAGATAAACGCTGCTAGCGTTTAGAGGTTGGCTTCAAGCTTCCTGACTCTTGATTGTTGGGGTATCGATGAAGCAGGATTGTGTCCTGTGAACTTCAGCCGTTGACGTAAGTCTTCCTGTTTCACAGATACTGTGACGACAGCCACCTCTGGTATGAAAAACACACGTCGGAGGTGTGTCGGCGGGTCAGGAGAGTCTCCTTCTCCAGAAGTAAGTGACTGCAGAGGAAGCAGTGATAGGTAGGAGCTTAGCGTCCTCGAATAGTCGGTGCAAATTCTCATCACTTGCAGGGCTCTGCTTCTTCTGACAGCTAAATTCCATCAGATGCATGTTTTGTCCGTCTCCACTCCATTATGGCAGCAGAGCCATATATATTCAATGTGTGTGCTTCCACTGGCGGCACTGCGATCCGTCTCAGCTCTGTCGATCCAGAGTCTTCTGCAGCTGATACACAAGGCTTCTATTTCTGCAGGATGCCTGAGCACGTGGCATCAATTTACCACAGAGCAGATCGAGCGGGACAGGAAGTCAGACACCGATACAACATTAAAACATCCGGTTTACTTTCAGACTAAAACACTCCGTTTTATGATGTTTGTGAATCAGACATCTTTTTTATGCATTGAGGCTCCTTTACAGTGCCAACGCATAGATGCGTTTGACTTTTGCGGCGCAGTTAGGGATGCGATTAACCCTTTGTGTGTTCTTTGAGAATTAGATGGTGTCTTTTTGAGTCGTTTGCACAAATTAAGCAGGCAATACTTTTGTGAATCGGGCCAAAAGTGCATTAGGAAATGTTGCCAGATAATTGAGCTTTTGTTCATGGACTCACACGAAATGTAAATCACAGTTTCATTGATATTGTATCAATAGTTTTGGAGATATTCTTCAAACTAACAAAGAAGCAAAGGAGGGCAGGAAACCACCGACCTGCTGATTTGTGGCTCAATTCTTTGAGAATAAAAAAAAAGAGATGTCATGTTGGTTCTGTTCGAACGCGGTCGTCCATGTGTGAATCTGAAATAATTGGAGAGCACGTTTCCTTCACCTGTACAGACGGGGACGTGTCAGCCATGTTGCTACGACTCGGTATCAGAGCTCATTAGAGCTGCAGCACTGCAGGAGCCTCTGAGCCGTGACCACCAAATCCTCCTGAGCTAATGAGACTCAAGAGGTCGGAGCGGGGCACCACCTTTACCAGCCGTTCACATGTCCCATAATACAGAGCTACGATATCCTACCTATCCTTCCTCCTGCTCTAATTAGCTCTCAGTGTGTATCGTTAGACTCGGTTTTAGATACATTTGATTTGAAATCGACTTAAAATGGAAGCCAGCGAGAAAGAACGTCCCATCAGACATCATGTACCTTATCATGGCTGCAGGAAGACGTACTCAAAAAGGACAATGTGGCTTTTTATCAGAGTCTGATTCATCATTTTAGGGTGATTTTCACATCTGTAGTTGCAGAAAAGTAACATCCAACATGTCTTTGGTTTATTTCATTCCTTTGATTTCAGACAATCCCTCTTCTATAAAATGTCTAGATATTTTTAAAATGTGTTTGAAAGATGAGCATCAAACCCCCGTCAGCTGACTGTGTGAGTGTCTCTGGTCAACCCAGTCTCACGTCAAAATGTGTAATACCTACGTTGGTCCACAGCTCAAAATGTAGTAGTTTCGCAATAAGGGCTCTAAAATTGTGACAAGCCTACGTTTCCTTTTGTCTATTCTTTTGTATAGGCATACCTCAGGTCACGTGACTGCCCAGTTTTCCCCTGGCGAAAAAATAAATATGACGGACATCCCTTCTATTTTCGGTGGAAAATGCAATATTTTAAGATAGTTTGAGGCTTAAGTGTCGTTTTGATAACCTTTCTGGTGACAAATGTACATTGTATCTTCATAATCTTCGTTCGATTTATGTTTATGATCTTTAGTTTGTTCGTTTCTACGAAGATTCTTTCAGGTCTCGATAGAAAAACGTTGGGATATTACGTTTTCTACTGTTGCTATGGTGATAGCTATTAACGCTATCAACAACGAACCGGAGGGAAGTGGACGTTCAGTTCGTGGCTCTTTTTTCGGCTGCTCTGGTTCCGGAATTAAATTTTCCCATTCAAATCCTCCATTGATTTTTCACAAAATCCTTGTATCAAGAGATTGGCGCCGGGGACCAAGACAACAAGCTACCCCAACACTTACTGACTATAGTACATTCAATTCTGCACCAAAACGGTATTAAAAACGGAAACAAAGGTATAGGTTCAAGACTGTGTCAATCATTTTCGTCCGGAGTCAAGGAACTACCCATCCCACAATCCATTGCGAATGATATCGTTTATTCAGTCTTTCAGGTCTCGCCAGAAAAAACGTTGGCCTTTTACGTTTTCTACTGTTGCTATGGTGGTTGCTATGGACGCTATCAACAACGACGGGTTACATCAGACCCTAGACATCAAACTAAACTCCTATGCAATAAATAATGATTTCTGTTACATTTTTATGGATGTCTTTCATTACAACCAAATTTAATAAAACGATTGGAACAGATCGATGCATATTAGCAACATTATAAACTATAACATGTAACAATCCTTGATACATAAAGACAATACTGTACAGTTTGTGTGATTTATATGATTTTATTTAACTAAATAATCCTGACAGATTAATACTATCTTTTAAAACAGGTTTGATTTGACCACTTTTTTACAATATATATAGTGAGATTATTTTACAAAACCCATTCGGCTTTAGTAAATATTTGATATAGTGGGTAGATATACATTTTTTACAACCCTAATTATGTTCCCTCTGTGCACAACGCCAGACATAACTACCAAAATTCTCCTTTCTAGAATAACAGTCAAAATATCCAAAACTAACTGATATATGTACTTTATTTTAACATAGATCATATATGTACTATGCAATAAATACTTCGGTCACACAAGATCCGTGACATATTCAGTGAATATATCTTTTGTAAGCCTTTTATAATCCTAGTTACAACCTTTTTTTTGGAAACGGAAAAGACTACAATTATGGCGCCATTCAGTATCAAGCTGTATGACTTGACTCTGAGGAATTGTGGTCTTTTAGACAAATCTCAGTGTTTCCCTTAACTAAGAAGTAATATATATTTAATTGAGGGTACACAGGGGAGTTTAATTGGATGGTTAACACATTTATGTTATCAGATATTTAAAAAATAATTGATACATTTGTTAAAATGTATTTGAACCATATATAGCAGCTCCCCCTGTTGTTTTGGTGAGCTGACTACCCTCACATGGTACTTTGTTCCAGACCTCTCTAAAACAGTTATTCCCATGTCTGTAGCCCCTTTTGTTGCTGAGTTATAAGCCTTCAAACATGCCCTTGGGTCAAGGTTCAAAGAGCATTATTTCAAAACAGGGGTCATGTTGAAACCTCATCTTCACATATGTTACTCTCCAGGATGAGACCTTTCCAACGATGTATGTCGTTCAGCTCTAAGCCAAAAACTTAAATATTCTCATTTCATAGGCAAGGGGTCTTGCAGTCATACTTTCATAGAGCTCTTTCAAAGCCCAGTACATAAAATGTTTATTCATTTTTATTTTTTTTATTTTGTTTGTTTGTTTGTTTGTTTTGGTGTAAGTATATCATAAAATCTGGGGAACTATATGCTTGGATCGTTGAATCGATAGTGAACGCGCCCTCGGCCTTTAAACCGACAGTGGCCGTGACTGCACGATTGCGCATGTCAGCAGCACACTGGCAGACCATGGCATAATGGGCTTTTTGAATGGGTTTTTGCTTAGATTCCTGGAATGGGATCTTTGGTTAACACAGATTTAAAATGTGTTTTTGCAACCAACCTTAAAAAACATCAGTAAATACCCCCTGAAAGATCTAATAAAGAGGTCGCTCACAAGTGACGATTATCAATACGTCATTATTTGATCATAAACCGAACGAAGATTATGAAGATACAATGTACATTTGTCGCCAGAAAGGTTATCAAAACGACACTTAAGCCTCAAACTATCTTAAAATATTGCATTTTCCACCGAAAATAGAAGGGATGTTTTTTTGTTCGCCAGGGGAAAACTGGGCAGTCACGTGACCTGAGGTATGCCTATACAAAAGAATAGACAAAAGGAAATGTAGACATGTCACAATTTTAGAGCCCTTATTGTGAAACTACTACGTTTTGAGCTGTGGACCAATGTAGGTATTACACCTTTTGACATGAGACTGGGTTGCTCTGGTGTCTGTTACCTGACTGTTGCCCCCCTCCTCCCTCCTCAGATCTGAAACAGAGATGCCTGATGAAGATGTGCAATAAACTGTGACCAGAGAGGAAGAGAGAGGGGGGTGGGGAGGGGGGGACACAAAGAGCTGTTCATCATCATAAGAAGAGACTGAAACCACAAACCGCAGCAGAAGGTGGACCAGCAGCTCCGCAGAACGTGTCGGCTGATTTCAACATTTGGACCAGCACACTACATGTTATCTATATCTCTAATGTCAACACTGGTTGCAAAAATGTTTTTAGGGCCAGGAAACAAAAGCTGACCATCAAAATCTGGAGGCTGAATCTGCAAAGATTTTCCTCCAGGACCATTTTCTAAAGTCACACTTATCTTTGTTTTTCTCTGACTATTTTAAACTTTAAACTTTTAAAAAAACTGTCTGGATTACAAAAAAGACATTTTGAAACTGTGTCTTTGTCAATAAAACTCTGGCTGCTCCCGGTGAATCTTTCTGATGCTTCCTTTACAAACAGGGTGACTGAAATGGCAGATATGTGACAATGACAGGATGACAAAGGGCCAGTAGACTTTTGGTCCACAAACTCGTAGATCTCGATCTCGTACTCTCCATGTTGAGACGTTTGTGTTCCCGGCTTTCTTCTATAAATGTTTGCTGTTCGACGTCCAGGTCAAAGCCCAGTGTGTGAATCGTTGAGCATGCTCAGAACGACTAGGCCAGTTTTTTGGGGTCTGATTGAGGAGTATAAATGCACAAGTGAATGGACCCCCAACAGGGTTATCTTCAGTAGGTGTGTTAGTCCAACTTTGAAAAATGACTTTGTAAATTCAACTTTGTACGATTTCAGTCTGACTCAGATGTTTACATGAATTTGAAAAGTCCAGTTGTAGACAATGAATCCACTTTCTTTAACACGATGTAAACGTACTGCGTCACACAAACAGGAACTTCAAGTCTTCTGGTAAATGTTCTCAAAGATTAATGGCAGTCATTTGCATCTTCTGGCTGTTGAAATCCACTTGGCATATAAGAGCCTGTTTCTACCAGAGAGAACGTTTGCAGCAGGCGGCCACCTGGAGAAGCGATGCAACACCCAGCATCCTTATTTTCCTGTGCTCTTGCTCTGAGCTCTTCTACTTGAATATCTTTCAACTTTTCAGAAGAGTGCTTTTAAATATGTCCCCGACCCTCTTTTTCAAAATAAGCGATATTCCCCACATTTTTGTCTCTCTCACTCCGAGTCTGATCGGAGCCGTGATAGCAGACGAAGCAGGAGGGGAGAGCACCGTTTGATGCTCATAGTGAGGCGAACTCAACGGAGCAGTGCAGGTCAAACAGCTGAGATGCATGTGTAGCACTTTTATTCTCAGCACACAATCAAGGCTTCATCCAGGCTCTACAAGACGCACAGCCAGCACTTTTCTGACCTTAAATCCTAAGACCCAGGTCCTAAGTCTTTAAGATCCCACCAATAAGAACAGGGCACAGGATTTTAAAATATTGGAACATTTCCGTCCTGACTTGGAGCTGCTTTCTTTTAAGGCAGAAAAAAATAAAAAAAACAACAGATACTTTTTTTCTGAAAGAGTTCTATAATGAGGCTGTTTCTGTAATCGTATCCCCTCCTGTCTCTAACGTGACATTAGACATAACCATGTGTATCATCCTCCCCCCACAGATGCACCTGTCCCTCACAAAGCCCCACTATTAGACCCCCCGTTATTAACCCACCCCCCCCTCTGCTCCGCTGACCCTCCTCTCCCTGCAGGAAGTCATTGATCTGAAATCCTCCGAGGATCAGATAAGACCAAGTCGACCCGCAGGGGTCACAGGTCCAGCCCCCCTGCTGGACAAAGACCTCTCTGTGGGTCCCCCCCCTTGTCAGAACTCCACCTCTGTTAAAGCCTTGTATACCTGCACAGGAAACAAACCGTGATAAGCTGCTGCTCAGGTGTCACCTGATAGCCAATCAGACTGAAGGAGCTAAAGGTGCCCCCCCCCCACCCCCGCCTCCTCAAGTGGGACTGATAAACTCAGTTAGTGAAGCTGAGAGTTTAAACATCACTGCTAAAGACTTCCAGCGTCCATGAAGTTCCATGAAGAAACCAAGAACCCCAGAGACCCCAGGACACAGATAAGGTAAGACCACCCTCACTGATTCAACATCACCGGACCTGATAAACTCCTGAAACACGCACGAGGCTTGTAGAACAGTCATGATGTGTTTAAAGCCACAGGTGGTCCGAGCTGCTTGAAGCCATCACAGACGTTAAAACGTCGAGCAGAGAAGGTCGTCTGTCTCATTTTGTCGCTGCAGAAATCAGCAGTAATGATGGGGGGGGGGTTACCGCTCTATAGAAGACATGGGGGTAATTCCATGCCTCTACATAATAACAGCTGTGACATTTTCAGTTCCCTCTAATGAGCATGATCAAGTCTTTTTATTGGCTGTAAGGTCGCAGCATCACCTGGGGGGGCGGGGGGGGTGTTCTTTGATGTAAGTGACAGATTTAGGCTCACTTGTACAATCTGTCCTGATTTCTAATAAAACACTCGTTCTTTATATTACTCAGTCACTGCACTCAGCGTCACGCTGAGACGCAGGATTTCTTTGAGTGCAAAAAAACATAGTGAATATTTTACACTGTTTCTGTAAAATGTTATCGTGTTCAAAGTTTGAATTACTCCCTCTTAGATTGGGAAAGTTCATAAAATGATACATTAAATTATAGACCTACTTAAAATAAAGAAAAAAAGGAGTAGAGCTTTTCAGCCATAGTGCCTTTCTCAAAAAACTCCCTCCACCCTCTCTCGCTTAAGCCTCGTCCAAACGTAAGCGGGTGTTTTTGGCCTTTCATAGGAAAACAACATTTTAGGTCACTGAAAACGCACCATTTGGAAAACTCCTTCCAAGGGGAAGACTTCAAGAAAAAAATGTCAATAGTTCAACGTGATTAATGGCATTACAAATGAAAATTGTCAGGCTTTTGTTCAGTCTTAAAGTCAGGGTTGGTCATTTCCTACAGATCCACTTCTTCAGATTCTGGTGTAAATTGTCTTTAGGTCCTGACTGACATTAATAACTCATGTTCTCTGAAAAAAGAACAAAGAAAATCCATCATCTGTATCAGTTTGTTAGTCTGTAAAAACTTTGACCAATGTCTGCCACGAGGTACCAATCTGATGAACCAATCAGATGCCTCCCCGTCTCCCTGCTCGCTCTCTACCTCTTGCGTGCTCTAGCTCACACTCCGATGACTTTAGGAGTTTATACTGAGAGTTTACTGAATGAGACATGAGACGACGTGATTTCTACACAATGACAGAGATGAGCTGAGCTACACTTCTGGAGAGACGGCGCTGCATGAAAGTGAGGGGGCGTGGCTTATGAGGGAGCACAGAGGGGAGGGGGTGCAGACGGAGCACTGAGGGAATGCTGCTTTCAAAATCATGCTAGCTTTTGGAAATTACCAACCCTGCCTTTAAGCACAGAAACAGGAAGTAGTTATGGATCCCAAAGTGAGGTCAAACAACTGAAAGGAACGGTAACAAAGGTCAATGTGTGATGTCATGAGGTCAATGTGTGATGTCATGAGGTCAATGTGTGATGTCATAATGTCAATGTGTGATGTCATAATGTGGCAAGACATTCAGTCACCGCCACCGATGAGTTCAAACAGCTGCGCTCCGGCATTTTGATCTCTGACCTGGCGCTTTGCATTGTGGGAAACAGTACGCGAGGTAGACTGGTCCGATGCATACTGTACATGTTTCCTGAATCAGTATGACATCCTGGTATTTTTGGCATACTGCAGATCTCGCAGTTGTTCACATACTGCATACTGCATTTTGGCCAAATCAGTATGTACTAGTGGTATAGTATGCGGTTTTGAAAACAGCCTGAGAGTTTGTTAAAGTGAAATAAGACATTCAAAGATGCAGCAGTGTCCTTCTTTTACATCACTGAGGACCACTATCTACGGAGAGCCTGAAGGGACAAAACAACATGAGATTAATCAGGATTAAAGAAAATGAATGCATTCATTTTGGACCAAAACATGAAGGATTCTCTCTCTGTTTTTTTTTCTTCCAGGAACGAGTCATGTTTCTGATTTGGGTTTTCTTGCTTTCTGCTGCTCCACATGGTGAGTTAACCCTCTCACTGCCAACGTGCAAAACACAGCATGCATGGACACAAGTGCCGGACAGCGTGTAGGAAAAACCAAGTCCAAACTTTTTTTCAGACCTTTCTGTTGGTGGAAGGTGGAACATTTAGTCCAGCATCTCACAGCCGTCCTGTCCTGTGTGTTATGTGGTGTTTTCTGACGTTGCATGATGGTGAAGGTTCCGTCATGTGTTAAATGTTCACTTCATCACTGTCATGACTCGTCTCTGTCTCTCTTTGTCTTCAGCTCTGTCGTCCGGCTCCATCCTCTGCAGAGAGCCAGAGGCCAGCGACCCGAGCGCAGAGCACATGATCGGTGAGGACGATAACTGTCTCATGACTCATGTTAATTCATAAACTGGGGTCATTAAAGCGGGTCATTGGTCTGAGTTTTAAAGATCAGTGACTCGTGATAATGTGACGTTTAATTGAGGCCCTCGGGGAACAAAGCGTTTTACTCAAAGGTCAAAGTGCTGAAGGGGTTCAATGTCTCCACTGACATGTAACACTTCATATCTGCACCAATCATCATTTTATTTATTTATTTTTAATATCTGAATGTCATGCCACATCTAGAGGAGGGTTAAAACGCCGTTTTATAAATAATAAAAAATCTGAATCTGAGGATGTTTGTCCTTTAAGGGCTTCGGTAGAATATCTGACTATTTGTTTTCCCTACCATCAGTCTGCAGTTTTTGCTGTCTCGTGATGTTGTTGATATCGAGGTCGACTGATACACAAGATGAGATTTTCTGGGACACCTTTAGTCCTAATCAGATCTGTGGGTACATCTGGCATGTGGAGCGCTGTGGCCTAAATCATTTTCTGGCCCCGCGCGCTCCTCGGGACTCGTGTCACCGGAACCCACCAACCGGATTATCTATGATTAAATCACGCTGCTCTCCACCTGCGCGG